TCTATTTATAGTTAGTTGAACCCGAATATGACCTGGCTTGGAAATGACCCGACCTGATTGTAACCTGTAAATTATTGACTTGAACATAACCCCACTTGAATCCAAGAATGACCCGACTTGAAAATGACCCAACCTGATTATAACCCGCAAATTATTTACTTGAACCCGAGAATGACCAGACTTGGAAATGACCCAGCCTGATTATAACCCGTAAATTATTTACTTGAACCCGAGAATGACCTGACCTGATTATAATCGCAAATTATTGACTTGAACCGAACCCGACTTAAACCCGAGAATGACCCGACCTGATTATAATCCGCAAATTATTGACTTGAACCGAACCCGACTTAAACCCGAGAATGACCCGACCTGATTATAACCCGCAAATTATTGACTTGAACCAAACCCGTTTCGAATCCGAGAATTACCCTAACCCGTTTTCACCCGTGAAAACCCGAATTAAACCCGACCCGAATGTATGTAACTCGACCTGTTATTAAACTGACCTAAACTCGACCCATACCCGATAAGAAGTATGACCCGATGTGACCCGACTCAAGCATGACCCGACCCAAACCCAACCTGCATAGGATATGGAATTAATAAGAATTGACCTGATCCGAGTTGACCCGACCTGCTCTTACTCGACCCAAACCCGACCTGTTTACCCGAATTGACAGCTCTAGTTAGCATTGCATTGTCATTTCATATTTTAAATCATTAATATTTCTAAATACTTGTTAGTAAAAGCTTATTAAAATATTTAAAACGAATCAAACAAGACCTTTATTGATTACTTCATATAAGTTTTTTCTTATACATTAAAAAGAATTTAGAAAAATATCTTAGTTGGTAGATGTGTCTAGATTCTAATATAATGGAACTAAAGAAACAAGAAGTACCACATAACTTTTTAAAATGTTTCAAGGGCATGTTCATTTCAGCTCCAATCAATTCACTTCAATTCAGTTCAGCTCATAATTTCCTTCTCTCATAAAATAATCATTTCAGCTCTATTCAGTTCACAGTTTAATTCTAATCAATTCAGTTTAGTTCAATTCAGCTCAGCTCAGTTCAGTAAATGTAAACATGCCCTAATTTGAAAAGAGATGAGAAAACTAACAATGTTTTTTTTTTTTTTTTTATAATTATTATTATTATTTTTAAAAAAAAAATTTAGTGCATGCACACTTTACAACCTAAAAAGAGGAGGAAATAACATCTATTTCATCAATTAGTTTTAATATGGACAAATAACCTTATTTTAGGCTTATATAAATGGAATAAACTCTTTTCATATATACTTTTAATTTCAAAATATCATATTCTTTCAAGATATTTATTTCAATGTCAGAAAGCTTAATATGTGTGGTGTAAGCCATCTGAAGTGCCAATATGGACTTGAGAATTCAAGTTTCATGTTTACTTATTTTATCAAAATGTATGCCTAAAATAAATTTGACCTTTTTTCCTTATCACTTCTTTCCAATTTCAAACAGAATCAAACATGCCAACCAGATCCACTCATAGAGTAAAACTACCCAATAGGCCAATATTATGCTTATCAATTTATAACATTGGTGAAAAGATTGATCGTCTTTGCTCCACTTTAATTTGATCGAATTTGAGCTATATATCCATCTTACGATCATTTTTGTACATCCAGCTTGCTCAAACAGCTTAGCCTTAGACTTAGACTACAAGTGATGGTGTGATGCACGGTTGTGAAAAATACACACCAATACCATATAGATATATGGTTGTAGTGACGCATAATACTATATTATTCTAATTCAATCAAAAGTTTAAACTGGTAGTTAAAGCCTATAATTAATTTATACAAATTGAAATATACTATATTATACTCATAATTCAATATGAAAATTGTACGTAGTATAATATTAGTAGATTAAGCTATATGCACTTTAATTTCTTGGTCATTCGTTTATCTTTTGATCTCCTCATCCAATTCAAAGTATGGCCTGGTCATTCTAAATTAAACTCTAAAGCATCAATTTACATACACATATATTTAATTTGTTCCTATAATCATTTGCAAGTTTTTTTATTTGTCAATGGAAATTAAAGTGCACCGGAATTTATAGTAGGTAGACGATTGAAATGACACATAAAAAGTATATTACTACCTCCGTTTCATATTTTTTGTAACTTTGGAATATTTTATGTCTCAAAAATAATACCCCAAAGTTATAAAAAACATGAAATGGAGGTAGTAAAAAAAAAAAAAAGGAGGTTAGATTCTTTGGAAAAATGTCTAACCCACTCGTTACTTTCAAGTATAATAATGAACCCGTACATGGTGATCCATGAATCTTGAGAATCTAAAGAGTTTGGAAGCCAAACCCACTTGCTCTAATAGCAGGATTCGGATGCCTGCAAATGGAAGTTTTTTTAGACAACTTCTCCAATGAACAAGATTCAATATCTTCTTATTAGGCTCTACAGTACGCTGTAAGACTTGACAATATAAAGCTCTCTTACTTTCTTTCAACAATTTTCTCTTTTCTTGTAAAGTATATAGATTACTAGGTTAGATCCCGTGCCATATATATATATATATATATATATATATATATAATATATATATATATATATATATATATATTATATATTTTGATTGATTGATTGAGAAGTATTATAATTATAAATTAGTCGAGAAATAATAAAAGTGTGTGATATGTTAATTTGGTATTTGCAATTTTAATTGTAGCTTCCAATACACAACTAAATAAAAGTAGGCAAAAAAAATCTGAGCAATATTTTTTCTTATTGTAAAATAGGTCACCAATTATTTAAAAATATTGATTTTTGGTATGTATTGCCCAATTTTTTTTTTAGAAAGCTTTGTGAATGAATCTTTTATTTTAAATATAATAATTATTACGTGTTAGTATGGAATATGTACAAAAAAAATAATATGATTTTTGTAAATGATTTGCTTCCTAAATTAAATTTTGTTTTTAAAAAAGGAAAAAAAAATAACTAAGGACACACCAGGATGGTGTGTCTTTTAGTATATAGTATTGATCACACTTTGTACTCCCTCTATCCCTTAGACTACTACTCCGTATGTATTATTTTGATACGGTTTCTGACTTGCTCTCTTTTTCTCCTAATGTACAAAAATATTTTACTCATGCACAATATTTTTGTCCAAACATTTGAAAAATAAATATGAGAGCTAGGTGAACTAAAAAGGGACGGAGTAGCTAAAGGTGTCAAATTAAAAACACATCCAACCCCACCCGAAATCGATCCGAAAAATATTTTTAATTTAGTATGACTCAATTTATTTACCCGATCCGACCCGACATCCTCAAACTCGATCTGATTATCCGAATTGACACCTCTAGATGGAGGAAGTAGGTCGATAGGTTAGGAATTATACTATTTTAGATTTATATACTAATAAAGTAAAATATGAATGGGAATATATTCAGTTGTAAAGTTGGGAGGTCATGGTCATGGGTGTGGGTTTCACGTTTGCATGGGACTACCAATTTTATTTGTGGGCTTCTTTTAAAGTACAACGTACAAGTGTTATAGGTCCATATTGAATCTTTGCTTGAAAATGCTCTATTTTATGTTCTTTCTATATTGATTGTAAAAGATGATGGCGCAATGCTATACGTTTCATATCATATCTAAAATAGCCTAGATTCTCTGTTTATGAAATCATATTTAGTTTGATACAATTGGCTATAATAGTACTGAGTCTACTGACTACTAGTTAATAAACATGATTAAGTTGTTATTAGTAACTAAGGTATCGGATTCATAATCATCTCTATAGCACAAAAGAGTTTAATTAATGGAACACATCACTTCATTCATAAAATTATAAATGTAATGCGTTTTTAAGTGCTTTTTTTGTTTTAGGTTGGATAAGAAACAACTCACATAAGACCTCCAAAGGTTTGATTCTTACCCAAATAAACCAGTCTATCATACAAACGAGTCGTGATTTAATCTCAAAATTAAATTATAAACTCGGATAACTAATAAGAGCTTCTTCGCTAAATTAAGCCCTTTAGTAAATAAAAATGATGAAAATTGGCCCATCTAAAATACCGCACTCTAGCCACTGTGGTTGGTTCATCAGCTCATGGCCTCACAGGCGGCTTCGATTCATAAATGCCAAGCTAGCCTTGGGGCATGGCGCATAGGAGGGTTAAGTAGATAAATTTGCATTTTGACAAGCAATTCTCAGCATCTGTTTCAAGCTTGCTGGTATAAATTATCGATCATTTATCCATCAAAAGATATTCAAAATTTTCGTTATCTAGAGCCAATACTTGCTATGCATGTATCAGAGGGCAAATCAAGCAGTTGATTTTATTCCTCACTTTATGGTGAGCTAATCTAGACCATCTTTTTCATTCTTGATCAAACAACTGAATAATTTAGCAATAGTAAAGTCATGATAGACCAATAATATTGAGATTAACTTATTAAAGACAAAAAAGTATAGCCAAAAGATTTTAAAGGCAATTTTCCTTTTCAATAGATTAGTTCTTACCAAATAAAATCATTGGGAGATCATGTCTTACCAACTATTCCCTTCGTCCAGATTAATTTATCATGTTATAATACAAATTATACCAAAAAAGTTTGGACGAACGAACCAAATATGAGAGTATTGATAGGAGATGGATAATAAGAGAGGGTGGAGAAGGGCATCAATGAGCTCATTCATACTTTCAAAATATTCATCCTTGCACTACACTTAATGTACAATTTGCATCACCCATTATCAAAGAATATACGTACTTTGCAACTACAAATATTATACTCGTACTTGTTTAAGGCGATTTCAATAGATACATAGGTATTGTATAATTGGCTTTCTCTTTTGTTTTCAAAGCTTATGCTGTCATCAAGTATGTTATGTTTTCAAACATGAAACTAACAAAAAATGACATGGCCTTAATTGGATATATCTATCACGTGCATTGAACAATGTGTAAAAAGGCAATTGGTATAAACGAAAAATCAAATTATTCAAAGGTGTATTAGTTTCAAAGGGAGAACTGTACTTGCATTTTCAAGTAATCAAGTATTCCTCCAAAAGAACTCTTAATCCCTCTGTTTATCAGTAATAGATGCAGTAAACATCAGCTTAAGTTCATGCTATTCAGTTCATATATAATCACATTCCAAAAAAGGCGGTGCAAATCTTGATGTAACCCCCATTAATTCTATCTATAGATTATGCTACATTGGCAAGTTTTATGACAGTCAAGAGTCTGTCCATCGGTTGACTTCTTCAATGGCAGCGCTATGGACTATGGTTACAGAATGAAGTCCGAATCCCTGCAATTTTACTACATTTGGGTTAAGTACTTCATCAGGATGCGGTATATAACTTGTATCAGCAAGGTCGGTGACATTAGGGGAGGCCGAGTAGTAAGCCATCAAAATTAACAGGAAATAATAGTCTTTGCCACAGACAGCCTGTGGAAATGAGCTCTGGTGGCTGAACAACCATTGCAATATCATCACCCTCTCTATGCAGAATGCCTATGATAGTGGCACAGTCACCTTCTTTTATATAGCTGATAAGAAGCAGGTAGAGTTCCTTAAGCACCCGAGTTAAATCATACATTCATACTCAGTTCTCAAAAGGGGAAAGAGGAGGAGCTGAGAGGAGTTACCCTTCTTCAAGGCGTATCACCCGAGAGTTGGTTGCAAGATTTCTGTGTGTCAGCCATTTTGTCAAGTTGGGGGATAGAATTCTGTGCTTCCTTGTAGACACAAGCCTGCTCTCAACGATTAGGGGAACAATTTTACATCCGCATCCAGCTTTTACCAAAATTCGAATGCCTGAGTTTTTGTCAGAAATGTAAAAGTCTGTAGAAAGCCTCTGCAATAAAAGTATCCGTTTCAAACGTTCATCATGAAAGACAATATTTGAAGTCAGAAAGATATAGATGTCATTTGGTATGTTACTCAGACTAGGGTACTTGGGGTCATACATGGTTATGTGTAAGCACTCGAGTGTCTTTCTATGAAAACTTCCAAGAATTTAGTCCACAATAGAGTGTCAAGGTTTTATACCCATGTCGTAGGATCAAAGATTTGACATTAACGCTGGATGTGAATTGAAGAGTCTGAGTATTAAATCAGCCTCTGCAATAGTATATTCCAATCATAAGAAGGCCAGGCATATTCTAGTGTTAGCGTAGATACTATAGGGTGAAAGCTTGAATAGATTGTTACAAACTAGGTAAGGTTGTTACAACTTGATAAACGGGCAAGTAATTAACTCTGAAGACGAAATAGGTGAAATATTTATGAGAGAAGGTAGTATATGGGACCAAAAAAGGCAACATTCTTGTAACTAACAGCAGGACAAGTGATTCATGAACTTTAATGATAAAATAATAAATGGTCAAAACATGACATTTTACTTACCACTGAAACAAGATTGGTACGGAAACACAATTTGCTAACAAGATTGTTTCCATGAGTAATGCTGTAATGTGTAAAGGCAAATCCCTTACATTGCAGTATGAGAATGGGTACGGAAACACAATTTGCTAACTAGTGTTGTCAAATAAGCCCAAGTGTGTACCATTTCGCATTTCTCAAATAATAGTTAGAAAATCTAGACACAAAACCATTAACCAATATGATCTACCTCAAGTAACCTTGTTGAATCCTCATAATTCAAGTAAATTCATCATACAATGATGTGGATTAAAAGAATGAAAAATCATAAATTTGCCAAGTGTGAGTGTGTGACAAAGACATGAGTACTCAGAATCCAAGTAACACAACACAATCAGATAATCAGACTTCTGTAACTCTAAAAGTCTCAAATTACATTATTGTCCCACAAACAAATGTAATAATAGTATTATAACAGAACATTATGAATTAAAAGTTAAAACCCTGCTCAATGAAAAAAATATAAAAACAGTAACATACCTCAGAAAAAGCTAATCTCCAAAGAAAGCATGGTTGTTTAAGATTGAAAGCCTTGAATCCAAATCCTTGATATTCATACAAAAGAGTAGACGTATAAACGCATCCACCAACATTTTCATACGATGATTCTAATGATACTTCACCGCACGAAACTGGCTGACATCAACACAACACTACTGTTAAACATTTAGATTCAAAATCACTAAACCCAGAAATTTCAAACAATCGAATTAAACCCAACAAAAATACAATAAAATAAGTGAAATAAATTACCCCAGTAATCTTGACAAGTTGCCCATGTCGGGCGAGGCGGAGGTCGGAGACAGGAAAGGAGCGCAGGAAAAACAGAAGCGAGGTGTTACGGCGGAAGGAGACCGCATTCCAGATTATAAAGGCGGCAACAATGGCGGAAAGAGATAGCGAAGCAAGGAAGAATAGAGCATTTTTAACTTCAATGAGGATAAAAAGGGAAACACTAAAACCAATTATAAACAGAAAGATTAGAATAAGAATAGAAGTTCTTGGGATTGAAATGTAATAATGTGGAGTTGCATCTGAAGAGGAAGAACAGGAGATAACATTCATCACTTTTACAAGTTTTATTAATTTCTCTCTCTTTAAGTTTCCTGGTTTTTGGCTTTTTTGGGTGCTGTTTTTGTTTCTGGGTACTGTGTTTTCTGGAAAAACTGCTGCTGGTTTTCAGTAGTGCGGTTTAATGGGCTGTGTTGTCAGAATTCGGACCCCCCGATTATGACGTAACATTCTTCTTCTTATTTAATGGGTCGGCCCGAATGGTTGTTACATTAGTGGATTGGCCTAATAGTTGACGAGGTCGGCCCACCAAGCAATATGAATTTGGGAGTACAAATATGGGTCATAAATTCATCATTAGAGACGAAATTACTTACTACCTTCGTTACATGTTATGTGCAGCGATTTGACATAAAGCAAAGAGGAAAAATGTTTAATCGTTGCACATAACCTATAACGGAGGTAGTATTTCACATAAATCTCAAGTTGTAGCTATATGACATTGAGATTGAAGATGAAATATGCAAAAGGATCTCAAAATATCATGTTAATCCAGATGAACATACTCACTTCCTTCAAAATAAATGTACTGTTTAATCTTCCATGTGAAATAATGTTCATTTTGTCCCCAAATAAAAGTTTAATTTCATCCAAAATTCTGGTCCTAAATAAACTTTCATTTCACTTACTGTATTATCTTTTATTTATCTAGCAATAATCAATCAAACATTATTATCTTACTTATTCATACACTTCTAAAACCTAATTTCACCTATAATCAACTAAATCCCACTATTTATTTACACACCTTCCTAAGAATTGGTGCAAAAGCCAAATGAAGCTCTTATTTGGAACCATATATATATATATATATATATATATATATATATATATATCAAAGAGGACACAATTTATTTAATAAACTAGTAATCTAACTGTACAATGATTTAAAAGGAAAAAAAAAAAAATCACTTGTCAACAAAAGAAAATTGTGGAGCCTATGTAGAGTATGTACAGTATTTTCAAAGTTTATTGTCAAAGTAGGGGTACTATTACTTATCTTAGGTTAGCGAGGATACTTTGGACTTTTATAGGATCGGATCTTGTGAATGATAGTATTATCATTGCTTCGTACAGTATGTGCCATTTTTTTCTTTCTTGATTTAACATCAACATGACACTTTTTTTTTAATGTCATTAAAGCATGATTTGATTATCAACTCATCCTAAAGAAAGAGCACTACTTCACCACTACAGTTTTTATTAGTGAGGTGATATTAAAACGTGAAGTTAATCCCTGCAACGTAAAAATGAGACGATTTTAATTAGAACACGAAAATGAAAGAACGGCACAATATGACTAGTAGGGCGATGGAAACATGATTTGTGACAACTAAAATTAAATCACTTATTCTTGGAGAAATGAGCGAGGTGTGAATTTAATTTGTGAATGTTGAAATCACTTCTACTTTCATTAGAGTACATATGTTATAATTTTACGGAGTATGGCAATATAAACATGAAAAGTCCATACGGAGTAAGGACTCGCTGAATGAATGACGATGGTTTATTTAATATGATGTGAACAAAACTTATCTAAGAATTGATACTTGATCTTATAATAAGGAGTGCAAAAAAAATGACAGCTGTGGGATTTGAACCCACGCCCTTTCGGACCAGAGCCTAAATCTGGCGCCTTAGACCACTCGGCCAAACTGTCTTGTGTGTCATATTAAAGCATATTTATTAATAGTTGATACAATTATCACAATTTACGACAATTTTTAAAAGGGAATGTTATGATAGTGGATCTATGTTTATAGTCCTCGATACTTCCATTGTTTTGGATAGTAGTGGGCCTAATTTTCTTTGGCAATGTCAATTCATCTTTGTCCTTCCCTACTTTCTAGTACTTGTACTACCAACTATATTTACTTACTCACCTACCCTCCTTCCTATGAAATACAAAGGAGTGATTGTTTAATGTTTAGGGTGATAATATAATGAGGATGTGTGAAGAATAAGAGATTAGATATGAATGATACATCTAATGGTTTGATTATTAGTGAGATGAATATGTAGACTTACTTTAGGAGTAAGAGTTATTATTGACAAAACACCTTCTTATCCCACTAACGGTTGTATACTAGGTAATTGGGCATGGTTTAAGACTGAGGGATACGATAAATTTACCTTTAATTAGATAAAAGAGGAGGGAAAAAAAAAACGAAATTTGTATAGGTAATTCAATTCAAAAAACTTAGCACTAATAATTCCAATTATATTCGCAATTCTTGCATAATATGGATGAACACTTAATTTATTCTTATCTCTTCCCAACCATTTTCTATCATTATTCATTTCTATTCCTCTTATTCTTGTTCTTCATAACGAGTACCAAACGTCCCATTAGAGCATCAATTGTGAAAGAGAGAGGGAAAGAAAACTAATGGTGTTGGCATGATCATCATTAATTAGGGAATTTAAGTTATAAAATTAATTCGTAATTAATTAGGGTATTTAAGTCATAGAACAAATTTGCGGATACCTTGAGGATTTCTGAATAATGGAGAAAACTAGTCTTTTTTTGTGAAGCCTAAGGGGTATCACAAGTACTCCATAGCAATATTTCTAAACTAAAATAGTAGTAATGTTTATTTTGTATTACTAGTTAGGGCTTGTTTTCATACGTTTATTTTTAGTTCAGTTCAATTTAGTTCAGCTTAGTTCAGTTCAGTTTATCTCCTAATTTCCTTCTCTTATAAAATAGGAAAATTGTAATCTAATAATCCCACCTTTAGTCGGTCTTCCATAAACAATCCCACCTTTTGAAATTCTAGAAACAATCCCACTTTTGAGCCTCATCTTCTACTAACGATCCCATTGACCTACAACTTGTTAAGCAGGTTATTTTACTTATTTATTTATTTTAACTATACTCCTTCTCAAGCCACTAGTCAAACCACCACCCAACACTCACTCCTTACCGCCACCCCCACAACCAAGCCACCACGAAACGCACCAACCACGCCGGAAAATCCAATAACCACCCCCGAAACCCAACCCCCACCACGAAAACTCCACCCACTGCCACAAAATCCCCACACCAGCCCCCTAAAAGGCTGAAACTCAATCCTCAGCCACGAAATACTCCACCCCAGCCACGAAATAGTCTACTCCGGCCCTGAAAAACGTCACCCATCGTCTCCAATTCAATTTTTGGTTTGAAATTAAATGCAAATTATTATTTCAATCATCTGAAAAATCGAATTGAAAGGGAATGAATTGATGAATTCAGAGGAGAGTGAAACATACCAAAGAGAAGAGAGAAAGAGAAGGAGAAGGAGAAAGAGGGGTTCTGGGCTGCGGATTGGGTTGGGTTTTTGGGGAAGCTAGGCGGCTGCAAGTGCTGATTTCGGGCTTCAGGGGTTGGGTTCCGGCGCCTTGAAGGGGTAGGTTGGGTTGCCGGGAAAAGCAAGGGCGGGGATGGGGAGGGGATGCGGTGGCAGGATGGGGAAGGGATACGGTGGCTAGGTTGGGGGTTTTGGTTTTGTTTTTTTTTTATTATTATTTTTTTATTAGTTTGTTTTTTTTTTTAAAAAAAAATTTAAACCTATTAAAACCTGACACGTGTCTTATAACCTATGAAAACCGGTTATCAAAACAATACAACCGGTAAAGGATTGTTAATGGAAGATGGGGGTTTAAGGTGGGTTTGTTTCTGGAATTTCAAAAGGTGGGATTGTTTATGGAAGACCGACTAAAGGTGGGATTATTAGTTTACATTTTTCCTATAAAATATTCAGCTCAGTTCAGTTTAATTCAGTTCAGTCTATGAGAACAAACCCTTAGTATTTTTCCATCCATCAAAACTAATACTCCATTTATATTATTGATTAAAATTGATTTTTTTTAAAGAGCCACAAGGGCGGGGATGATTAAGGGTTTGTTCACTTCAACTTAATTTCAGCCCTGTTCAGTTCAGCTCAGCTCTAATCAATTTAGTTCACTTCAGCTCCTAATTTCCTTCTCTCATAACATATTCATTTAAGTTCTATTCATTAGTGCAGTTCAGCTCCCATCGGTTCAGTTCAGCTCAGTTGAGTAAATGTGAACATGTCCTAATATTGAATTTTATTAACTGAAATTGTTTTTGTAGTCATCGTTATAACATTTTCTTATATTCACCTGAGTTTTACCATTTAGAATTATTTTACTAATAAAAGGTTCTTTCAACTTTTAACTAACCCTTTTATAACATGATCTATGCATGAGAAATTCATTTTACTTTGTATTAAGATGAAGAGGAAATGCTATTCAAAAAAAGATGAAGAGGAAAAAGTCTTAAATAATTGCCTTAATTTAAAAATGGCATGCATATAGCATTGCATGCATTGAGGTTTATTAGCAAAATAAATTTAGCCAGCTGGTTTATGTTCCTAGACTGATCAGTTAAATTATGATATATAGCACTATCAAAGTAACATTAATATTGAAAGAAGGGTCAACAATTCGATTTGCTTACATAACATGATGTTCATCCAACAACAAAATGTGTCCTATCTTAGGGAACGGCAAAGAGCGTTAGTGAGTCAAAAATATGTGATGTTATATGCTGTTTTCAAAAATATGTGATGTTAGAAACATTGGTACTTTGCTATCTAGATTGTAATATTTCCTCTGTTTATTTTTTAATCTATTTTTCATTTTGCAAGGTGGTTTTATTCAAGATACCTAATTTTATCCTCAACTAATATTGTACGTTTTAGCGACTTACCCCTTACCTTATAGTATTTATTAATTTTTACTTAATCTCTTTACTTTATTCACTTTTATTTTTTATTTACTACTTTTCTAAGATCAAAGCTTGCGATAATTGAACCAATTCTAGAAAATGAAAATTTTCGCGAAAGTTGTAGAGATTTTGTATTTTTGTGTGTATGAATAATGTGATTGATGTAGATAAACTAGATTGAAAGCATGGGTCTTGTTCATCCTTGCTTTATCTTTTTGAAAAAAAACTGTCCTTTTTATTTCATGATAAAAGAGTTGTGCTTCTCATTCATCATCTTTGTTTTTAAAGGTCGGTATGTTGGTGGATTGGTTAGTTGATGATTTGTGGTGATTTGAGGGACGGTAGTTGTCCTTTTTATGGGCTCATTTTCTCTCTAGTGTTTTGCCTTAAAAGGTGTACTTTCCCTCTTCTCCCACACTACATCGACTTTTTTTTTCATGTTAATGAGAACTCAAAACGCTGAAACTATA